GATTTCTGATAAAAAACTTAGTTTACAAAGGTGAAAGCTGACGACCAATGGATTAAATGATATCAAAGAAAAAAAAAACATTTAAATTATAGAAAACAAAAATAATATATATTCAAATATAGAACAATACCTAAAAGGAAAAGCAGTAATTTTATTCATAAATAATCCATTGCTAAAGCATTCCATTTACTTCTCAGTGATACAGTACATCTTTAAATCTTTCCTCCTGAGATGCATTACACAATAATAAAAAAAATATTATTCTACCACATTTGACATAAAGCTGGCAGGTTTGCGTGGCGGTGCAGAATTTAGTGTCACTGCAAGCCTTCAAATTCAAAACAAATTTAAGTAGATTTTGATTACAAGTGAAGAGACACAGGAAGCTTTTTCAGATGCTATCAGCGTTCGTTAGTTATTATTATCTTTACAGCCACTGCCTTGAAGGGCACAGGGCAGCTTTATCAACGGCTCTGTTTTCAATAATTAGAGGTCTTGAGCTCCTCACTTTGTGTCTAAACACAAGCTACGTACAGTAGACTATAAAAGAAAGGGGGCTGCATGCAATCTAATTATTAGCATTAGAGAACCATGACTTTCTACTTCTAATTGGTTTCTGCTTGAACGTTCTTGAGGATTTGTTTGCTTCCCATGATGCAGCCATTTCCCTGCTGGTTCTCCCTGATAAGGGGAGAGTCACTATCATTGCACAACCCCCGTGACTGAAAATAAAGTATCTTTTTGACATGGATCATTTCATAATATAGGCCACAGTTAACAGATTTTGATGCTACTGTATAGCAACAAATTAAAGAGTGGTTGCTGGGGTTTTGCTGTCCGTCTAAAGTGTTTAAATGTATTGGCTATTTCACTGCAAATTACAGTACAAAAAAGATTTTACTGAATAATGTTGAACATCATCGTCCTTCTCCTTTCCCAGTCAAATTTAGAGTTGTTGCAGTATTCCTACCTACGTCTCTTCACCATTAATACAATTTTTGAACCAGTTAATAAGTCTCCTTTTTCTCCCTCTACTGACCAATGTAACACATTCATGCATTTTTTCACAGTACAAAACATAACATTAATAACCAGATGCTGACCTCATCTCCTGTAGTCATGACAACTGTGCCCTCTTCTGCTTTCACAGATTTGAGAATCTCTCATTTTACTGTTGTTGACACAACATATGTGAATTGGTATCTAAAATGATACCAAGTACTTGTGTAATGGAGCCTATTTCCACACCCCTACTTAGATCTAGCTTCTCTGCATTATGTCCATTTATAACTACCTCATCAATCAGTCCCTTTAATCTGTTCTTGCTCATGTAGGTTTAAAGTCTGCTCAAATATAACACCTTTGATAAAAAGATTTAACAAAATACTCACCTACTTAACAATTACCATCCTATTTCCAATTAGTTTTTTCTTGAAAACATTCTGAAATGCACAATACCAGCTCATTGTCAGTGTTATGTTTCATCTAATGAGCTCTATGAACCTTTACGGTTAGGGTTTAACAAAATAAGATTCCTTTTCAAGATAGTGATTCACTGATACATTGTGACTCTGAATGACTTAATATTATCATCTCAGAATTACATAAAGTGCAACGTTTGATACTGTCAATTATGGCATCTTACTCTGAACCATGAAAATTGATTACTTTTACTTATCTTTGTTTTGTTGTTTGATTTGCTTCATTTTACAAAAGGGTGTCACTTTGTAAACCTTGGGTGATTTAAATCTGGTGTTATCCTGCTTGTTCAGAATGTTCCTCAGGGGCCTGTGTTGGGACTGATGTCATGGACTTGTGTTATACTGCCATGCTGATGCCACTCAGATTTACGTTTATCACCAGTTCAGGTGCTAAATGTTTGTGTTTTCTGCACTTTACATTTGCCTGACAACACTGAGATTACACTTGTAGACATCCCCAATTAGGCTTGCAAATTTAGTGGCTTCATTGGTGTTGATGATGCTGAAATTAAAACCATGATGAATGTAAGAAACCTTGGTATTGTTTTTGATCCTATTGTGATTTGATACTCATGTTTGGAATGTCACATGGGTATCTTTTAATCACCTGCACAATATTGCTCGCTTAAGGCACTTGACCTGTTGTCCATCTGATGCTGAAATATTGATACATGGCATTATTTAGTCAAGATTAGATTAGGGTAACAACTTACTGGAGTGACCAATAAAGCTCTAAATAAGCTTGAGTACAGTACGTCTAGAATGCTTTGATGTGTGTACTCACTAAAACTATTGTACCTCAGCATTTAAAGGAGAGCTGTAATGCTACTTTTTTATTTTTAGAATGAATTGGCATTCATGAGTACATTTCAACTCACAATGAAAGTTAAATGTACACAATGACGTATAATGTGCAATTTACATAATGAAATTGATTACATTTCCAGGTATGCTCATCTCAGATTCTACATTTTTAGAAAGAGGCAACCAAACGTCTGGTGAGATAAAGCAACCCTATTATATTGTAAACAAGCAGGCTTGTGAATACTGTACATCTCTTTTAATTTAATAGAAATACTGCTCTTGACTTTGCCAACAAGATACAACTTACAGTACTTGCTAACTCTGCATGCAAATCAGGTTGGAAAAGTTCTGCAGTGAAATGTCTGCTGCACAACATGTACTTATTCACACGTACTTCTTATTACATTAGTCATTACAGTGACTAGTGAGCAGGAAGGGCTTCATCACATCGCAAATCACATAAACTCTTGCTCTCACCAGTGGCAAGACCAGGAGTTTGGGACAACATGGCAACTGTAATGTACTTTCACAAAGATTTTATGCTTAATTTGGAATTTTGTAAAATTTGTGAATGTCTGTTCTTTAATATGGTTGTCCTAGTGATCTCCTAGTAAAGTTAATTATCTGAGTAAATTATTAGGTACAACCTACATGTATTCCACTTCCTTCTGTTTGCCTAATTGTTCTAGGACAGATAGATACTGTAAATACATGAAAACAATATCTATTGTTCCAAACATTCTCAGTAAGGTGAGCAAGCTGGGAAGTGCAAAATGTGCTAACTTTTCTGTCCTCCACATTATTCACAACAATATGTAAATTTAAAAATAATGTTAAATTTCAACAATAAATGGTACTCTTAATGTCTCCACTCTTAGTATTAATGTTGTTCTGGTCAGTTCAGGAATCACTTAATGAATCTTGTAACTTGCCTTTGTTTTTAAGTATGTACGAATCTGAGATTTTGTATATTCTGTTGACAGAGCTCTAGGTTTATACTTTTATTCTTTTAATTAAAATCCACACCAAATAAATGCAGCACTTATTTCATCCATTCTCATTTGTTTTACCACCTTCATTAATTTTTTTCTTAAATCACTCTTTAAAGACATATCCAACTATGAAACTTCACAGAACAGAATTCACAGCAACAGGGATACTTTCTAATACATTGTTTCAGTCAAGGTCTCATACTATAGCAACCTTATTTCTAACCCTAGGAAAGAGTTAAATAGACAGGCTTAACTTTTATGTTTGGTTGCTATGAATCTGGTAGTTTAATATTTTTTTTAATACAATAATCTGGAGCAATAAACCTGGAATTATTGCAACAGGTCTGCAATTGTTACAGCTCTCCTTGTTTTATAGCTTTAACCTACTGTATCTCTTCAAGGCAAGTAAGACAGAAGTACATGGAGTACAGTCAACAAACAATAGCTCTATCACAGTATTATCCAGAACTATGACGTTGTGGTGATCATGGGCTTATTCATCACAGGAATCAAATGTCATTTCCACATTGAATTTTTGCTATTAACCACTCATGCTTGAAGGGTAACATTAAATGTCAAAGACTGATTTTGGTGTTAAAATGCAGCAGATAAATGCAATATATTGATTAGGCCAGTATTTGTGTACTCTTTAAACATGATGTTATTGATACCCTTTTATTATTATTAACCTGAGGCATGCAGCATTAACTAATGTCCTCTTTTTTAACTAATTAATCAATTAAAATTATTTTATCAGCAGAAAATGTTCCTGAAATATTTTTGAACCACCAAATATGGGTATTTAACCTAGACAGCTCACAATTGACATTTTTGGCAGTCTGCAGCAATTAGTTAATGCGAGTCTTAACAGCATGGCTAGACTATCTAATGAAAAGTGCGTGTCTTGCAATCTAGCATTTATCTTGTTATGTTTTTGACTTTTCATTAGTATGTCTTCTCTTGATTTGTATACTTGTAATATAATAGAGTCTTATGGAGCCAACAAAATACATACTCATTTTTTTACACTGTAAAGTAGGACAAAACAAACATTCTCTTCCTCTTTCATGGGAATAATTAATCGATCTTGTTTTACATTGTATGTACTTTTAGCTCAGCTATGTATTGTAAATACATCAAGTTCAACAATCTAAATTTCCATTACCAAATGAAATGGCAGCTGAGATGTCTTAAGGTCAGTGATTTTTAAGTAGTGTCTGGGCACTGTGCTGCTTAGCAAAGAGATGTGAAATTGCTATGGTAACATCCTGGCAGAAGAATAGGTCAATTTTAAGTTCTAGTTTTATGCTTTTATTCTGCCTAGCTTGGCTGGAGATAAATGCCAGTAAACACAGCCTTTGTAGTGCCAATTAATCAGAAAATCTGAAAATTATAATTTATCTTAATACATTTCTCATAATTACAGTATGAAGGGATGTTTGATTCTAAATATGTTTCATTAATAATAAGAAAGCACAGGCACTCAAGATAACTGGTTGAATGTTGATTAATGTCCACCTTTATCCTTCACAACATATTTCATTCAATCTAAGAGGAAAATTGTATATATTTTTATCTTAAAAAATATGGCTATTTTTTGTTTCTTGTGCTCTGTATTTCTAATGGGTATGTTTTGTTGAATAAAAGCTGAGGCTGTGCATCTTTTTTTTAATAAAAATGCAAAGCAGCGTACTGTATTAACTCATCAATGTTTTGTTTGTAGGACACAGCAGGACAGGAGCGTTACAGAACAATTACAACAGCATACTACCGTGGTGCAATGGGGTTTATTTTGATGTACGACATAACCAATGAAGAATCATTTAGTGCAGTACAAGACTGGTAAGTAAAACTCTTGTTACAGTCATCATAAAACCAAAGGACTTCACTTTAGAATTTAGAATAGGGATGACAATCTAAAGAGTAAAACAAGAACAATAATCAAATCTGATTAAATTAAGGGCTTCAGAGTAAGTGAACACAGCAGTATCAAGATCATATTGTCCAAATCAAATCTGTAGCATTTGGTTCTTGGAGTCAAAATAAATTCAACAAACTTGCATTGTAGAACTGCTAACAAGTCGCTCCAGTAACTCATTATTATTCTCTGCAGGACTAAGCATGACTAGGCAGTAACAGTGTGTATCCTCTAAGACAGTCATACTCAAGTTACACACTTTTAGGTCATGATAAGAGGCTACTGGCAAGACAGAAGAAGCTGTGTGTTTCTCCAGTTCCCTATTCTCATTCAAGAACTCCATAATAGGGGAATTTAGCTGAATAATTGTTGTCATTAGTGATGTGTTGGAATTGATAAAATAATTAAAAAGCAAAACATTTTTGAGACTGTGGAAATGAACATTTGCTGTACTTACCATAACACCTAAATGTTCTGGTGTGAGTATCTGTATTGTGCCAAAAATAATGATTTAAAGATGTTTGAAAAAAGGCCTGTTAAGAAGGTAACTTGGTAAAAAGAAAAAAAAATAGTACATACTGTGCCTTGCAAAGTATTCAGACAAGCTTGCACTCATGATTCTTTGAAGTAGCAATTATTTCTTATATACAAAACCTATCCCACACATTTACAGCATGAAAACAAAAAAAAAAAGGAAATGAATAGATAATTTAAAAGAAAATTATCACACCACAAAGAAAAATAAAAAACTAAAATGTTTGGATGTACAGTCAACATATTTCAGTTTTTTCGGATTAGATTTTGCTGACATTTGCTGTAACTTACAGTATATGACCTTCATATCTACCTTCAAGGCTTCAGGCTGAGCATTCGGGATTTGAATAAACATATTTTAAAAACGTTTATGCATCATTTTGTAATATCACAAAATTTGAAAGCATGGAATGGGTAGGAATACTGTATTTTTAATTACTGTCAGAAGACAAAGAAAGGCCATCAATGTAGTGGTGGTGACTTGGTAGATGTAAATTTTTATCTTGATTTTATTAGTGGCATTAATTAGTGCAGGGCACTGTATGGGAAACACATGTAAAAGAAAAAGAAAAAGGAGGACAGATAAACAATATTTAAAATAAATCTTTTTTTTTCTTGGTGTTGTCCCCAAAAGATGAAAAATATTATAAGTAGAGATATAGTGTTGTATTGTGTAGCAAAATATAGTGTAGTACATGCTTGTATAATACATAACAGGGTGAGTATTAATAGAGAAAACATTTTGTTAAGTGTTTACAATTTATCATCTTGTCGTGTCATCCCTTGTCTTGAAAGATACCCTGAATATCAGAAGTGTGTTCATATAACTAAATACAGTATATGCAGTAACCATTTACATATCCTGCATGAGTCTTTGTACAGTACGTTGATGTGATAAATACATGAGGTAAAGATAATGCTACCGTAATGGGCAAGCTGAAAAGTTCCTGAGTTTATTTAGAATGGAATACTATACAGAATTCAAATCACTGTTAATCTTAAGTTGTGAAAAAATAGATCTAAAATACTGGATTCCCAAGTATTTAAATGATACAGTGTGCTGCATTTTTAATGTTGTCCTTTTTCCTGTACCATTTAAGGTAATTCTTCAATGGATATTTATCTTATGAATCAGCTAAATATCTTCAGCACATATTCTGTCCTGTATTTAATGTTGATATGCTTTTAATGAGAGGACCATTCTCTAATGAGAATTTTTAGATACAAGTTAACTTGTTATAGAAAGTTATAAGAGATTTTCTCATGCATTTGTTATGTCTGCATATAATTTCCCCCATTTTTTCCAGAAACTGTAATAACATATATTTAGGGCATTAAAATGCAAAGTAAGAGTATAGAAACCAATAACAATTGCAGTGTGTTTTTAATTACTTTCAGAAGACATAGAAAGGCCATCAATGTCATGGTGGTGACTTGGCAGATGTAAATTTGTATCTTGATTTCATTACTCCCATTTCATACCACTAATGAGCAGAATTCAATTTTATGAGCCAAGCCCGTTTCTGATATCCCCTAATTATAAAACAGATCAGTTAACTGCAGAAGTGCTTTTCCTAAGATCAAATCCAGGTTAAAACAGGAGACGTCACAGTGAAGGTAGAATACCATGCATTCATGGAGTTTCAGTAACATGGTTTACAATCCAGTGTTCGCAAGTATAATCTGTAAATGTAAGAACAGAAGAAAAACAAATACAAAACAATACAAATAAAATGTATGTTTGGTCTGGTCTGTATAGTGTCTTTTCTTAAATGCAACTGGTATTTCTCTAGGCAGTTCTAATAATGTAAACAGACAGACCTACAATACCAGAATTTTTTTAAACTAAAATTTCATAATGGTTTACTAAGCACCATATCAATACACATAACAGCGGACATTCATTGTCTTTATTGAATCAGTGAAACCAACTACACAGTGTTTTTTAATTCACATGAAATGGCTTTTTTAAAATTAGTTGATGACTCTAGAGTAGGAGTCTCCAACTGTAGTCCTGAATAGCCCTGGTCTAGCAGAGTTTATACTGTAGGCAGCTTTTAAATCATTAATATCTAAAAGGCCTGGAACAGTTTTAACCAGCAGGTGGTGTGTTCAGTTATACAACTTAAAGATGATTTGGAACACAAAACAAAATAACCTTTGGCCCTCAATCATCAGTGCCCCCTTAATTAAAACGGTTTTTGCTCAGGTGACTTTGGATGACCTATTTGAAAATGCAGCTCTCCAGGATGAGGGTTGCAGACACGATGCCTAGAGTAACCACCTTGATCAATCTTATTGTCCAAAAACGGTAATCAATCCTTCGCTTGTGGCATTAAGTGTTATCTTACTACTATAACATGTTATCTTACCTTATACAGTATGTGTTTTGCAAGATAGAAGTAATACAGTTAATATTCTAATGGGGCTTCAGTGTGGAGTACATTCTTGCTTCTGAAACAAGGTCATGATTTCAAATACTGCATACACACCGTTGTAATATCGTTGAATAAAAAATAAAACTACCCCCTGCTGTAAAATGGGAACACTCCAGGCCATAACAACGTAAGAAGGGTTACATATGAAAGGAGTACATTCAGTCCACCTATTTTGTTTAGTTCAACCAAGAACAAATAGACACTTTAAGGGAACGTCATGCACTGAATATTTGTAGTCTTGACAATGAGACAATGAGGGAACCTGATTTAATTATGCAAAATCTTCAAAGGCATTGATAAAAGTCACACAACTGACTCCTTCAGAATAAGCACCAATAAGCACAAACATCAGGACACAAGTGGAAACAAGTGTGCTACAAGTGTGGCAGTGAATTGCAAGAATAGTAGGCACTTTTATCATGCAGAGGATTATGGAAGTATGGAAAAAGCTACCCAACCATGCTATCAAAGCCAAAATCATAGCTTGTCTCAAGAAACAGTCAGTTAGCTTCTTCTACAAAACAGGATGGATCAAATGGCCTTCACTCATTTGTAGCTGTTCCTATTGTTCTGCCAAACAAAGGGCATCAGCCGAGAGTTTGTGTGTTGAAAGTTGTCTTTATTTCATATGCATATGGGAGTCTTGCTCTTGTACACAAGACTCAAAAGACTCTCTGGTTGCATTGTGGGTATATATGGTCATTCTAGAAAGCTGACCAGTACATATATTTTCTTACTGCCAGGTGGGCGACAAGTAGCCCATCTCCTGAATAGACCATTTGTTCTAGGTGAGGTCACTCGGTCATTTCCCTGAGAACTATGGCAGCTATGCATAAAGACCCCATGTGACTATGTTATCTTTTGAGACCAGACATCCTGAGATGGATTTAATAAAATAAAAGTAAAAAGATACATAGTTAACAAGATATAATACAAACTTTTATTAAAACTTTTAGTTGATTCCCTCAGTCCCCCCCTTTAGGAAATATTGCAATTAGCCAATTGTTTTCTAAATGTATCCTGTGATTTCTGATGAATTCTTTATGGGTGAATTTCGTGATTCTTTATGGTGTCCTAAACGAGTGGTCAGGACTGAAGTAGTAGCTTTAGTGTAGAGGGATTTAATACAAGTTAGTATGACAATAGTTAGTAGAAACAGTACCAATCCTACTAGTACGTATTGCATCAGCGTGCCCCCCCTTGACCTGAATACAGGCTTCAGCCAGCTCGCTATCCTCTAGTCATGGGGGTTGTATTTATGATACTTTTGTCCTTCATCATAGATATGCTGTGCTAGGTCTGTAATGTGCTCAGAATAATCCGGAATGTAAGTACAACATTATGTTCCGATTGCGGCACATGTTCCTCCTTGAGCTGCTAACAAATAGTCCAGAGCCAGCCTATTCTGCATGGCTACCGTCCTTAAGGCTACCATTTCATCTTTTACTGCCTTAAGTCCGTCTGAAGTCTTGTTAGCTAATGTTTCCAATGAGGCTGTCATGGTAATGAGTTCCCTTGTTAATTTTCCAGTACCATACCAAGGGAATGCTATAGCAAAGAAGTGTTCTGTCTTGGTAATAGCCCTAGGATATATTCTGGAGTGATATGGAGAGAATGGGCTGTGTTTCCAATAACTCTGACACTAGCTTAGCGTTTTTAACCGGAGTCCCGGTAGCTGTCAGGAAGTCCCTGTTTTTCCCCAATATCCCAAAGTCATAACAGACTCCAAAAACATACCGCGAGTCCATATAAATAGTTATAATTTGATCTTTAGCATATTTACAAGCTATGAGCGCCTTGCGCTCAGCCTACTTGTCTAACACCAGATTATTCATAGCTTGTACAGCAGGTAGTCTGCACAGCCCTTAAACACACCCCTTTGCCACCACACTGAGGGGTCCTGAATAGCCACCCGGGCCATGCCTACCTCCATGCTCCTGCGCCAGCGCAGC